CTTCCTTTCTTTTTCTCTCTGTTTAGAAAACAAACAGGTAAACAAAACAGAATTTAAAAACAAACAAAAAACAACAAAGAAAAAGCACAAGAAACACATACAGATACTCCCTCCCACAAAAACAAAACTCAAATAACACAAAATCAGAAACCATAATATACAAGCAAAAGGCTAGAAAGACAAAAAAAGCCCAAACAAATCAATATGAGAAAAAAAGACTGCAAAAAATACCACTGAATTCATTTTTTTTATTGCCTATCTACTGCTGGGTGTGGAGCCTGCCCTTACTTGTGGTCTGAGAAAAGTAGTTTTTCCTTTCTGAGCAGTTAGTTATCAGTTGGAGATACCTTCTGGATTAGGGATGGGGGCTTGTGTCTATTTCCCCTCTAAGCACTGCAATCCCATCTGGCTTAGACTTCCCTGGCCCTGTGGGCATCAGTCCTGTTGTGTTTAGAAGGCCTTATCTCCGTGATGTCCTCCATCTCTTCTGGCTCTCATAACCCTTTTGCCTCCTTTTCTGCAGAGTTCTGAAGAGGGGTTTGATGAGGACATCCCATTTAAGACTGGGTGTTCCAAGCTAGGCATGGTGGTACAGGCCTTTCATCCCAGCACTCGTGAAGCAGAGGCAGGCAGATCTCTGTGAGTGTGAGACCAGCCTGGTCTACAGAGTGAGTTCCAGGACAGCCAGGACTGCTACACAGAGAAACCCTGTCTGAAAAATAAAAATAAAAATAAAAAATAAAAAAAGACTGAGTGTTCAAAACTTCCCCACTCTCTTCACATTGTCCAGATGGGGGTCTCTGTATTAATTCCTATCTACTGCAAGAGGAAGCTTCTCTGATGATGGCTGAGTGAGAGACACTGATCTATTGGACCAGCAGAATGTCATTAGGAATCATTATATTTTTATGTTCAGCAGAACAAACCCTTCCTTTCCTAAGTGTTCCTCCCTCTAAATGCTTGTAGTTAAATAAGCCCTAACTTTGCTTATCATATCTCATAATGACCATGTCATAACAATCACATAAACCTGGATGATTATATCATAATGCTGGCCCATCCTGAAACTCTTTCCTGCAGTGTAGTCAAGGGTCTGGCTTTACCTGGGGGGGGGGACGAAAACTCAGGCTGCTGGGGGCAGTGCTGGGCTGTATGTCCCCACTGGCTCTTTTAAAAATATTTACAGCTTGAACTTTCTTGTTTCAAGTTAAAAACTTGCCCCCTAAGCACTTCAGCTGCATCACATAAATTTTGGTATGCTGTGTTTTTCAAATTCGCTTCCCTGTGTTTTCCAAGTTCCCATATGTATGGTGTGTTTTGGAGAATGTTCTTGCGAACTTCGGGAAAATGTATATTCTGTGTTAAGTGTGGTGGTGCATCACTAGTCCTAGGATTTAGGAGGGTGAGCTTAGGAGGATCCGCATGCAATACCATGGCTACACAGTGTAAACTGAAGTTCCCAGAGAAGAAAAACTACGCCTGTATAGAAGGTTCTACAAGGCCAAATGACTGAACCTTGTGATTACAGACAGTTAAAATGTTACAGTCGAGAGACAAAGCACCTTGAACTACTTTTGGTGCCTTTGAAAAGCATCCCTTGTCTTCCCTTGTGTCTGAACTAAAATCCTTGTGACTATTAAAATTTTTAAAATATATGCTTGGGGGCTGGAAAGATGGCTCAGCAATTAAGAACACTGACTGCTCTTCCGGAGGACCTGGGTTCAATTCTCAGCACCCACATGGCGGCTCACAACTGTCTATAACTCCAAGATCTGACACCCTCACATAGACATACACGCAGGCAAAGCACCAAGGCAAATAAAATAATTGGTGGTGCACACCTTTAATCCCAGCACTCAGGAGGCAGAGCCAGGCGGATCTCAGTGAGTTCGAGGCCAGCCTGGTCTCCAAAGCGAGTTCTAGGAAAGGCGCAAAGCTACACAGAGAAACCCTGTCTCGAAAAACCAAAAAAAATAAAAAAATAAAAATAAATAAATTAAAAAATAAAATACATACTTAGCCGACAGTGAGCATCCACAAGCCCAAAAGCTAAGAATGTCATCAGACAGTTTCTGAAACCTATACAGAATTTCCTTCACCTCACTACTTATGGTCCCTATCAAAGGATTTAGTAAATGCTTTGACTTATGACGTTCTTTGTAACTACTAAAATGTCATTTAAACACCTCCACAAAAGAAAATATCTTTCTGGGCAACCTGAATCCTGGCCACGGTAACTCATATTTGACACAAGAATGAACTGTTTCTTGTTGCCTCTGAGGTGAGAATAGTGTTTTTGTGTTGATAATACCAAGCCTCTGGAAGAAGGGGGAGCAGAAGGAGAAGGAGGAGAAGGTGAGGAGGAGAAGGAGAAAGACTCAGGGAGTACAGCCATCTGCCACAAGCTTGAGACCGGACCTGGGTTCTATTGTGGAACCCATTTGGTGAAAGGAGAGAAACACACACACACACACACACACACACACACACACACACACACACACACACACAAATGAAAAATATGTATGTATGTGTGTTTTGCTGTTAAAATGTGCATCCTAGTTCTCTGACTGGGAGCACCTCTTACCTCAACTGCTCACCTCTGAAAACATGCCTGCTCCAAGTTCATTGCCACCAGCTCCTTGGTGAGGTCACCTTCTTAGCTACTGTACCCATCGCTACCTTCAGTGGCACTGAACTGACCAGAGACCATGACAAGTGAGAACCTTGGCAGCTTGACACATCCCTTGACCTTATTTCTCTGTCTCCAACGCTTCCAAAGTGGAGCCATTTCAAAGGACATCCACACAGGAGGCAAGTCCATTGTGGGCTGGGACATAGGCAGTTGAGTGGCTGGCTCTGGGGCTGGAATTGCATCTGTATTTGGTTATGCTGAGAACCCTTTTCTGAAACAACAGCTGCTGTGTTACCATCTGGGGTTTTGATTGGGTTTGTTTTTCTCTGTCACTTAAAGAAGTCAAAAGTAGGAAACATCTCAAGTTCAACAGGTAACCTCTAGGAAATTCTCAAACGCAGCAGGCCAAACCAGCCTGGTGAAGAGAAGCTTTGGTTAGGGGTGAGGTGACACGCGTGTACAGCAAACATACAGAGCAAAGCCGATGGGAAAAGAGAAGTCCAGCTTCTTGCCGGCTTTTTGTTGGTGTGGGTGTTGTTTATATCTTTGAAGGGTCTTTCTCCCCTAACTTAGGGTTGGTAAGTTTGAAGAAAGACAGGGTGGCTGATTGGCCCACAACTGTAGTGTAACATGGTCGGATCTAGCCTTGACTTTGTTGAGCCAGGCCATCGAGCAGGGGTCCTACTGGCCGGAGAAAAAGCCTACAAGGCCTCTAAGTGGTCAGGCTTTTCTTTCTGGTTAGGGTGAGGAGGAAGCCAGTCATGTTGGAAGGTGAAGAAGCAAGCTGCTGTCTTGGAAATTCACCATCTTTATTACCTTGTCATGGCATCTCTCCCAATCTGTCTGCCTGTCAGGAGATCTAAGTCCTAATCCCTCAGTCCTATGATTCCAGGTTTTGCCCTCTCAGAAGCTATGGCATTCTTTTGCCCTTTCCCATTCTCTTTGTCTTGCAAAGCAAAAGTAGCCATATCCTCTTCTACTTTCCCTAGTTTGACCTTGCATGCCTCCTCTGTCCTGTGTGTTCCGAAGAACCAGCCTGCCTCCATATTAGGCTTAAAAGCCATCTTTTTTTATTGTTGTTGTTGTTTGTTTGTTTTTTGAGACAGGGCTTCTCTGTGTAGCTTTGCACCTTTGCTGGAACTCACT